AAAAAAAAAAAAAATAAATGGAAAGAGGCCAAAGAAGTAAACCAATAGTTTTTAGTCCCCAGTGGCAGTAAATAACATTATCCTCCCCAGATCCATGTATCACATTCTGTGTGTTTAAAAAGCAACTGTGTCATTCTTGATGCTTTTAAAAATATAAGAGGTCAGTAAAAGAAAAGAAAGTCACTGCATTAGTTAGCAGCTGATGGTTCATTTTGCTCAGACCCAGGGCTGTCCCTGTGGGGTCTGGCTTCTCCTCTGTGCTCACTAGTCCCGTCTGGTCAATTAAATTAATAAAGGTCATGCCTTGCTGCTTGCAAATACTTCCAGTTGTGTTTATACAAAATTCAAACCATTCCACTAAATCATAGCCTTAAATTTGATTTGTCTAGTTGCTGGAGATAAATGTCTTGGTTGATGTGAAGTCCCAGATTAATTTCTGCAAAACATATCCAGTCTCGTTGTTTGTGTAGAGTAAAAAAAAGACATCAGAAAAGTATTAATGACATTATATCTAAAAAAAAAATAGCCTTGCATGCATAAATCAGCAGAGCACTAACATAGGTCTGGAGGCAATTCCAGCACCTCTGCTGTTTACGGAATTCCCAAATTATAACAACATGGACAGATCTGTGGGCCCCATGGTGCTGTGCTGATCTGAAGCTTTGTCACGGGCAGCAAGGAAACAGAAAAGACTCATCCATTTCAGCCTGTGCTTGCTGGAAAAACTTAGGATACATTCACAGGGAGAAAAGGGAGGACAGCCACACTAAATGGAACTGGATATTTTCTCCCTATTCATTTAGCCTTTGCCTCCAAGATGAGGTTATGAGGTTTTCAGGCACCCAGTTTGCCCAGTTGAACCAGCCTTCCCCAAATGTGGACCTGGTCACTCGCTCTGCAGCTAGGGGTGAGTAGGGCCTGGTTCTGTGTGTTAGGGGGACAGCTGTCATGTGCTCATCACATCACTCCTGACCTGTTTGGTTTTTTTTGGTGGCTATTAACTATTGGCTAGACTATTGACTCTCTCTCCTCAATTCATGGGATATTGCATAGCATTTAAAGTATTTGGCCTTTTAGTGGTGTTATCTACAAAAAGCTGTGAAGCTGAGGACTGTGTTCGTTGGTTGGCAGATATCAGGCATAAAGCAGAATCTGCAGGGATTATCATCCCTCTGGCTAGCCAACAAAGGTGAGTATTAGCATATAGCTTTCAGTAATTCAGTGTCTCTCTGCCTCTTACACCCACAAAGAAATGAACTGCTTTGTCATACTGACTTAACCATCATTTAATAAAATAGCAACAGTACCAGCTATGCTAGACAACTTTTTTGGCACTCTCAAGGAGCAGGCCCAGCCGCAGCTCAAGGTATTTTTCAACAATGTGTTAAATGACCAATCCATCACAGCACAGTTTTCCGCTTTAAGGCAGATCTTTCATCACTTTGGAGAGGACAGAGCTGCTGAGCTAATCTAGGACATTTTAGAGTGACATGTTTTAATTCAAGACCACACCTATGTTATATCAGATCCTTCTAAATTCTTGTTACGACTGTTGAACACCTGCTTAACTTCATCAAGAGCTGCTCTTTATGTGTTCACTGTCCCAATACTTCCAAAAATTTCATCTTAACATGTCCTGGGCAATCATTATCTCTATTTTCCAATTTTCTTCTTAATAGCAATTTAATATTCTGAAAGAAATGAGTAATGTGAAGTAATTTTCTTGTTGTATGTCTGCTAAATTAAAAGCATCTATTTTCCTTGAAAAGATGAAATAGTTGTAGTACTCCAACAGGCATATGTCAAAGTTCCTGTATAAGAGGTTAAATTTGCCTGAGAAACATAGTAATTTCCCATACATTTTTATAGCAGCCAAATTATAACAGACGTGCTTTTAGAAATCTTTGTTTTTAAGCATAAACTGTCGATTAACATTGATAGAAGCCAAGCAAAATTGACTGATAACACATGTTATTGCAGGCACATTTTTAGTTTAGCTATACAAAAATTCATAAAGTCTCTAAAGCCTCAAAGGCTTAAGAGTATCGGGGTATGGGACTACTGTGCAGGACATGCTCAGCTGGGCAGGAACTGAAACTGAAGAGCTCGGGCAGAGTCAGAAGGAAACCGAAGGGGACAGCTGGGAAACTGAAAGAAAAGATAGAAAGGAGACGAATGGGAAAAGATACTTCCATACCTTCCGTGTATGGTTTATGATGACACTTTAGTTACAAGATCACACTATGTATTTTCTGTGATCCACATCCTCACATAACATATGAGATGGATGATGGTCACTGAATATGCAGCTATTCAGCATCTTGTTTCCTGTTGAAGTCCTCTCTTTAAGGCATTAGAGCACTAGACTCTTCAATCTATTTTTTTTAAGATAGAAACAATTTATTTTAGCTAATTTATTCTCAGAAACAGATGATCCCTTTTGAAAAAAAAAATGTGGGAAGATGTGTGAGGTAGAATTTTGTTATGGATGAATCTGTCTCAATGATTTAAATTGGAAGTAACTAATGAAACATAGAAATCAGGGTGGGGGGAAAAGCTGAAGCTGTTACCTTTAAAGAGTGAAATCAAGTCACTTCTATGGAGGCCTGCAAACCAGGAGAGCAAGTTTGGAAGCAAATCTCCAGTTCACCTGACATTTTGCTGATGTCGAGAAAGTGCACGATTAGAGTAGGTATCTGAACCTATTTACTGTTGCACTGTGTTGCTGCAAGGATACTTAAAGTGTCAATTCAATGTCCTATGTTATTGGCAGTGATAAAGTCATCCGGATTGTTCCTGACAGTGAAAGGGAAACACAGATCCTGAAGGCTGTATTTAGCAGAATTAAGGTGAGTCTGATTTTTTTGACCTTCTTTTGTCCTTTGCTGAAGACCAAAGTGGTTAACTGACATGCCTTTCGTTTTTTCATTTTACTTCAAGCTATTTTATGCTCTGGAAAACAGCCTTTGCCCATTAAATTCCTAATTTCCCAATAACAATTAATGCCTGAAGGTAATATAGGTGCCACATTTGCAGATTTGCTTTTTTTCACTCTTATATTTCTTGCTAGCATACCTAGTTGTGTTCTGCGTTATCTACCTGATGGGCTTATTTAAAGTCCTGAATTTATTCAAGATGCGAACATAGGCAGGAAAAGGAAGAATTGATTTCTCCTTCTAGCAAAAATTTACCAATGACAGTAAAGAGGGTAAAGCAGCACAGGCAAAACAACTAAAAGTCATATGGCCAGTGAATGCTCGTGTCCAACTGACTGGACTGCTGTCTGGGCATAGAGAGAGGGACACTTTGGTAGCTTTGGCAGTCCTGGAATACACAATTTTATGTCACAGCAGAATGCCAGTGTACCAAAATGTTGGGAGCATGCACAAAACTTCAGTGCTGCTCACTGCCTCCAACTTCTGCCTAGATATTGTGTAGTCTGGGATGAATCTTTCAGTCTCTCTTGTTTAAACCTCATGTAAATGATTGTGTTTTCAAGGAGGCAGAGAGGAAAAATGAAGAAGTTCAATTGTTAACAGCTGGGGTGTAAGCAGATTGGATCTGAGTCCACCCACCCAATCAAACATAGTAAAGATCTTATAAGAGCCTTTTCACTTTTACAAAAAGCATTCTATCTTTTGGTTATGATAAAATTTTCCTGATATTCTTTTTTTTTTTTTTTTAATTAAAGTACTACTACAGCACTACCTTAGATGCCTCATCTCAGGACTGCTTACTGCTGAGAATATGCCAGCAGTCAAGATATAGATACCTAACTAGCTTTAAGTAGCAAGGCTGAGGCTCTCTCCATTTCTTACTGATGTGTTTAGATAGCTCCCCGCTCAGCGTGCTAGCTTTTGTGAATCCCTTTCTTCAGAGATCCAGCCTCTGCCTATATTGCATAAGGAATCCCAGTGTTCAACAGATGCTGGGTCTGAACACTATTTATTATAGTGCTTTTGACTGCCATGCCCAAGTCTCTTAAAGAATACTGTTATATCTTTTTCTGCAGTGATTATTACTGTCTCAGTGAGTCTTTGGACCTGATTCAATTGTGAAATTAAAGTAACGCCCCCAAAAGAATAATCATTTTACTCACAATTAGGAAAAAAATCTAACCTTAAATCCAAGAAATGCACATGGAAGCTGTTTTTCACATTAATTTCTTCCCCTTGGATGTTGGAACATAAAGAGTGAGCACATGTGGTTTTTCCTTCTCTTCTTATTGCAAACCCTGTTAAGCAAAAGGGTTGCTCACCTTCCTGAAACTGGTTCTCATTACAGAGCTCCCTTAGGCTCCCAAAAGGAGATTTCTTCACCCACTTCCATCGAAGTGGGACCAGTAGCAATTTGAATTAATAACTGCATGCTTCAACTCAGAGGACAGGATAATAAAAATTTGGCAAAGTGCATTGGAATCTGGCTAGTTAATTGGAAAGTTGGTTTTGGTGAGGTAATAAGCTGGGGATGTTGAAGGGAAGACCAAAAGGAAAAAAAGGAAAAGTATTGACACTTCGTTCACACTCAGTTTCATGAAAACAGGGTGGGTTTTGCTGCTTTTCAGGTCTTAGGACTCCACAGCTGCGTCACTTCCCATCTACACATCCACCTTGGGTCAGACAGAGAGAAACACATCCAAGTCATTGATATATTTAAATTAAATTCCCCATTGTCTTTTCCAGAAAAAAAAGGCCCAAAATTTTTCGCTCATGAGGGATCACTTTTCACAAGTGCCAGGTTGTGCTCACAATATCAGCAGAAGGCAGCAGTGGCCACAAGTCATCAGGACTTCAAAAGAACCATCCATTTAGAGTAGTGCAACTTTTTATGTCTCTGTGTTGCTCTCCCTTGGCCCCTGCCTCCCCAACACATGCAGCTTTCCCCAGGGCTGAATTCACCCAAGTCTCTGGACTTAGGTTCCATTTTTTAAACAGGAGTCTTGACGCTCTGTGCTGATAATTGCTCAGGAGGAAATATAAGACAGTTTGCAAAGAAAAATTATAATGCGAAGCAGGTATGAACAAGGTATTGATATAATCCTGTCACTGTCTTAACACAGGTTGTCTGACAAACAAGAGCGATATGAGCAGAAGTTATAGCAGTAATACACAAATAGCTACGAGTATTGGCTTCAGGGTTTTTGCATTTTAGAGGCAGAGAACCAGAAGAGGTATCTCCTTAAAATGCATTTTGGTTTAGATGGTAAATTAATAGCAACCTATCGTATTACATATTCTGTTCCTCAAGAGAAAAATGAAGCTGGAACCAGAAACCTTTCAAGATATAGCTGATCTCCATCTAAATAACCATCAAATAACAACAAAATTACTTTTTTTAGGGAAAGTATTTTGGGATTAACTGCAAGAATCTTAATGCTTTCTTTAAAACCATTTAAAGATGGCAGCTGAACCTGGATTATGATACGGTCTGGTGCTATTGCCCCCCACTGTCAGGAACAGAAGGAGAAATGTCAGTGAACACAGGAGGCAGGTCACAGGGTAGCTGCGGCTAGATTCTGCACAATCGGGTTGTGTGTTTGTTCCACGATTCCCTTGTGTAGAACAGATCATCTGTCTGCTGCTTGTCACTGTGATGTGGCATGCAGAAAGGCAACGGCAGGTCATGCGGAACCGCAGCAGTAATGTGCGGTGGAGCCGGGACGCGGGGGGCCCATCCCTCCCAATGCTGGAATAACAGTGCAACCATCAGATCATTCCCCCCAAATCTGTACTCTTCTTTCTTCAGATCTTCACAGAGAAACATTAAAAAGCAGAAAAAAAGCAACCTCTGAATGCAGAGCGCTCTGCAAGTCTGGTCTGGTCTGGCAACCAGACTGCTTAAACTACCTGTGGATTGCTCTTCCTCTGCTTTCTGGGCTGGCAAGGGGAAGAGAACAAATAAACCCCTTTTATCTCAGACTCCCTCCTTACTATGTTGGTGGAGCTTTACTGTCCTTCAGCTTCTCACTAAAGAGAGGTGTTCTGTGTTTATTTCAGCCATTTCTTTCTGCCTTTAAATTCTTCACTTGTAAGGCAATGTCACTTAGCATTTGCCTCTAGCCTAGCTTTCATAATCCAGAGAATTAAAAGGAAAATTTATCTCTGCCCAGCCAAATGGATTCTACCAAAGGGTTTTAGCATGAAAGAGTAAAAGAAAATCTGATTATCCCATTGCAGAGCATTGTGTTCCAGTGTCAGGCAAAATTAAAAAAACAAATGCAAGACTACCCCTTCTTACAGACTACTATGTTCAACAAAGGGAGAACAAACAGGAGGAAAATTAACATTTGCTAAAAAGAATCGCAATATGTCTTTTTATTTATTTTGTTTTATATGCCTGTTTCTTAATAACAGTTCTTTCCACTTATTTTATCATAATTTAAAGTCTGCTCTATCTTCCTTTTGTGTGTGTGTGTGTGGCCTTATAGAGATCTCTTCTACTTCTAGGGGAGCTTTTATAATAGGTAATAATTTTGTGAGCTCATTGCTGACAGATTAGCTTAAGGAAAACACATGCCACATAAAGTTTAAAGGATTATCTACATAGGAAAGTAAGAGAAAGTACCAATATACTGCATACCTGAAGAATTAAACTAGCTGTTGTTTGCCTCCCTTGATTTGGGGAAACCAAGTAAACCCCAGGGAAGCAGGAAAGACAAGGAGAATTTGCCTATTCCCATTCTGGAACCATTGCCAGCCATGTCACAGAAAAATGTGCCTGAATTGCCATCATGAATGTGGATTTACACAAGCCTACACTAAGAATGACTGGAAAGATGATCCTGGAATTTGTTACATGCCCTAATGCATTTCAGGTAACTCAGGAAATGCCCTTGCTAATTAGCCTGGACAGGAATGACAGTCTAGACGCAGCGTGTCTGCAAAGCTCACTCAGGAGGCTGGATGTGTTAACACCGCAGCGCTTTAGCCCACATGGAAACCTTGTCATCTCAGTCAGAATGACTCTGCTATCGATACCTGAGCTGTAAGGCTAACTCACACGTATTTACAGAAGATGGAATCACTTCAGCCATTTTAAACTTAGTAGCTGAAGCTCCCTAGGACAGATACCTGCTTTTTTAAAATCTGAGTTTGGCACTCCATTTGAGGGCCAAAACTAAACCCTGAAACCTGCCCGAAGCGTAGAGACTGCTACAGTACAAATGCCACTGTCTTTACTGAATGAATAATGTGTAATGAATCTTTCATTCCACACATTTAGCTTTTGCTTCATGAATCGCTCAAAGGCAATTCCCATTAGTCATAATCACTTGCTGAGTAATTTCCACAAATTGGTTTTGCCCTATAGCTCCATTGCCAACAGCTCTTTGTTATTAATCATTATTATAAATCGATGCTTTCATTGGGCAGTTCGATTAACTTGCAGGCGACACTGTGTTGCTTTTTTCCCTGATGGGATGAACATAACTCATAGAAATGGATTGCCAGGAAGAATAACCAGCCTTGGAAAATAGCTGGAAATGTTTTTTTTGTTTGTTTGTTTGTTTGTTTGTTTTTCCTTCTGGAAGTTCTGTAAAGCTGTTTGAACGTGCATATACCCAACCAGTAAGTTCATTCACGATAACCGAGCAGGAAGGATTCACTGGTTCCTGCCTGCCACCATCTTAGCCTGCAAGGCCGCGGCGGATGGCTCAGCCGGCGCTGCTGTCTCGTGCCTCGTGGGGCATCTCCTCTGCTTGGGCTCAGTGCCACAGCGCGGCCCTCACTCCAGAGCAAACTCTTTGAGAGCTCCTGGTCTCCATGCGCTGTCACATGCGCAAAGGTTGCCGACGAAGGAGTCAACAGCCCGGCCTGAGGCTGTAAGAAGGGAACCCAAAGGCATCCTGTCTTCCGAGGCAGCCGATGCCAGACCCTGCTTCTCGCCACGTGACAACAGCAGCAGCAGTCAGGAGCGCTGGATACGGACGAGGGGGGTATGACGGGGATAGGTGTGGTGGAGCTCCTCCTCCAGCTTTCCAGTAAGGCAACAGGAATGTTGCATTGCAGTGTCAAGGCTTGTTTGCAATAGGCTGTGCTAGACTAAAATGCAGCAAAATCTTTTACAATTCAGGTGCAAACTCATGGAATTACATACCTTTTATTTCCCATTAGTGATCACTGTCATGATTTTTATAGTGACTGCTACTCTGATGCAACCATAGGCACCAAATATCAAGTCTTTTTATGGAAATGATACAAATATTTATTTCCAACAGAGTGGGTAAAACCACAGATAGCACCTTCAGCTTCACTGTTTTCACACTGGTCATTTGCAAATTGTGACAATGATCAATAAAAGAAAAGAAAGAATATTTATGAGGGTGCCAGAGTGATCTGAATACTCCACAACTACATACTGCCTGTCCCCCAAGGGCTCCTCTTGTCCATCCATTTTCCCTCTGTCTCGTATCGCACTGAAATAATTGTCTTGCTCTTTCCTGCCTAGGAGACCCTTTGAGTGAGTCTGTTACTGATTTATGAACCCTTTCATGATTTTAAATCTTTTGACTTGACTGGCAGAAACAAATGTCACATTCCAAAATACTTTGCGAGGAAACAGATTTGTTTGGATTCCTCAGACCCACTTTCATCATCTTTTTATCTGCTTTGGAATTTATTTTTCTGAGCATCATTTGTGAAGTGCTACTTCATTTTAGCCTTTAATCATCATTTCTATTCCATCAGTGGTCTGAAAGCATTTTTATCACATATGTCAGAGTTAAGTCAGGGCTGTTTGTATAGGTAGCAGGGAAGCTGTTGCTCTGTGAACATGCCTGGCATAATAGAGTTAGGCCACTCAGCCTGCAGTAACTTTTACTAAAGAAATTCCTGGGCAGAGCCAGACACTTGAGAGAGCCCAGCCTAGCAGGCCTTGAAGGCACCGCTCCGTTCCCTTTGCTTTGTTTTCGCGCCTCTACAGCAACTGCTTATCCACTGCCATCCACAAGTGGATCCTGTCATTGCAGTTCAGAGAGTCAGAAAGTAGCTTTTAGCGAAAAGGGCTCCACTGGCTCCAAAGACAACTGTCAAGAAAAGCTTCAGGGATTAAAGACCATCTGAAAATGCAGTAGGAAAACCTGTGAGCCAAAGTGGAGCTATTCCTACCTGCAGACAGGGGTTAGCCCAGTAACCAGGCTATGTGTGTTTTGCTTAGCACATGCAGTAAACATCTCATATTATATGGTCAGATGCTTTGTGCATTACTCCAGATTTTACTCTGACTTATACAATAGGTCAAGTTAGATGTGTGCAGAAAGTTTCAGGTGCAGAAGGAACATAGGGTGTTACACATCAGAGGTTACACATCTATATAGCAAAGTACATGTCTAGAAATCCACTTGGGCTCAGAGGGAGAGAGTTGTTCCTGGAAAACTTTAGTAGGAAAATGCCAGGTGAAACAAGAGAGCCCCTGCAGGGTGGATGTGTTGTTCTCTTAAGGTGCAGGAAGACTGGACTTTGGCAACAGAAGCAATCTGCTCCCTCTTCAATGGGAAGGGAGCCCAAGCCTGAGCTTAATGAAGTGCTCAGCACATCTCGCATTCTTTTTCATGGAAGCAGGATCAGGCCCCTGTGTTACCATTCCAGTGAGGAAACAAGTACAAAATGAACCAAGTCATAAAAAATAAGAAACAAATAAAAAAAAATTATGAGTCTGTTAAGACTGTTTCACATCTTTCAAATACACTTATCTCAGTGGCATCTGTACTTGCAGGAATGGATGTGCAATTACCATATAATTGTGTCTTGAGTTTTTAGTCGGTGGCTCTCCTGAGGAATAGCCTAAGAGCCCTTTCCTGCAATGAAGAGCCCAGTGCAGAATTACTCCCTGTAGGAGAGGGGCAAGATCATTACTCAGTTACAGTCTCGCAAAGAGTGGCAGGACGTGGAACCTCAGGCCACGCTTTGGTCACATTCCCTTGCAGCCCGTATTGCGGCTGCTGCAGTGCAACACATCGGCCCCCCTTCATTGACACAATTACTCTTACCAGTCTCACTGAAAAGCAGATTAATACTAAAAGGGTAGAGACAATTAAATGTCTAGAATGCTAAATCGGAAACCTAAATTACTTTGCACTAGCAGCTAGGTCTACCTTGCAAGTCCTTCCGGAAAGGGCAGGAAAACACATTCCTACTGGTGACTGGACCTTTCTTCTGCATGTAAGAGTAAGATTTGCAGTTAGGAGTGTTCATTAAGTTCCCTAATTGGCAGGGGCAGGTGCTGAGGAAATCAATATAAAATCCTGATCTCGAGAACATTTTCAGCAGTAAACCCGTTCCAAAGAAGCACAGCTGTGGCTTTGAGGTGAGCAACAGCAGAGTGATAATTAATTATCCACTAGTGTCAGAGTCAACAGCACAAATGCTGCCCTGTTTTCTGACCTATTCTCCATGTCTTTCACATTCAGGCTAAAAACCTAAAAAACCTAAATAACCTAAAAAGATTATCTTCCCCACCCAAAACATTGCTAAGAACAGAAAGTAGTTGCATCTATAAACTTAAAGGAGCATGATGCTCTAAATGTGCTTGAGATGAGTGCTCAGATGGACTAAAGATATTGCTGTTACCAGCTACCAAACGTATATATAACATTTTCAGAGAAATCAGTACATTCTGTTTCTTTGAGGGGTAACAATAAGTCTTTCTCCATTCACTTTGATAGGTGCTGCTGTTTGTATTCAAGATAAAATGTGATAAAAGACTTATCTTTTTTTTCCTGCATAAATAAATAGAAAAGTAATTATCTGCTGAAGTTCTTATCTCAGAACTAAACATATGTATTGCCCCACTATTCATTCTTTGTGAATGTGCCAAGAGAAGCCTAAAATGTCATCCCATTCAGCACTGTGGTTGTGCATGTGAGGAGTCTTTGTGTATATACATGTATATGTCTGTATTAATTTTGTATATGAGGAAGCCTCTGATAGTCAGACCTTCGGCAATATCGGTGAGAATAGAATAGTTTCTGCTTCTTCTATCCTCAGTCTTCTATCAGATTTCTGACTGAAAACATTCCTAATGAGTTTCAACACGGAGGGTGGTGATGTGTCTATATGTGAACATGCCTAAGTGCAAAACCCACACATCCTGATAGAGCTTACAAAAAAGAACATTACTGCTTGCCTTACTGACTAAATGCCCATGCGTTTCAACTGATGGCATCATAACAGTAACTATGTTCTGAACTTCACAGTGGACAACATTTCTCGAAGGAATATGAAATTAGTTCCCATGTTCACTGTGATGTTGAGACAAGACCAACTTCCATGCATGTATTGCTGCGTAAATCTCAATAAATATAAAAACCGAAATTACAAGGTTATATAAGCATTAAAAATAGCTATCTGTATGAAGTATAACATGGATAAATCTATAAACAACTTTGGATGGATACAGGATATGCTATGGCAGAGTTATCATATGGTAGAGTTATCATACTTTCAATGAGAAGCGTCAATCGGCTCTTTGATCTGTACTGATCTCACACCTGATGAGAGCTCAGCATCTTCCTTTTGGTCTAACTGGAAGGAGCAATTAAACACCTCATCATGAAAGGGTAGTGAGGAACAACTGAAGGCTACTGCCAAAGCAAATGGCTTTAATTACAAAGCGTGAGCTGTTCTAAGCCCTGGGGTTTGAAGAAGCCAAAGATTTCTCTGGGTGAAAAAGGAATGTAGAATGTGTGTGGTGGTTAGTGTGTCCTGAGGAAGCATAAGGAGACTCCTTCCTTCTTGGGCTCTATTTCCACAAACACAGGACTAGCTGTAGCAAAACATGGAACTAATGAAGAAAAAAAACGCATGCTTTCATTTCTGTTTTGGCAGGACAGCAGAACTTTGGGTACATAATATATGTGATATGTTGGATTATAGCAATGAAATGTTTGTCTCACTGTAAAATTATCTGCACTACCTTAAATTTCAGAAGAAATTTTGAATTCTTCTAGCTCAGCACTCATACCCTTTTTAATGTTTATCCCTTTACCTGATTTTGACTCTTCACCATGCTGACTCAAAAGCTAGAAACAAGACTATTTAGCACAGATTTGCTACTATTTGGAAGCTATCCCAGTGTGAGCTGATATATTTATACTCTTGAGAATAGGGGAGCAATTAATATCACTCCCCCTTGCTAGCCAGTGGAGCACAGCATGGAAATCCTAGGGATGCTTGCCAGACAAATGTCGAAAGAAAAGTGCTGACTACAGTGGAGCCCTTGCTATCTGTGGGAGATGCAATGCTGCGCTCTCCTAAAGCTGACAGTGAGTAAAGGGTGGTTCATTTTGCCCAGTCCAAACATGCCTACCCTGAAATCCATCTTTTCCTTGGCTGATTTCATGCACCGTCTCTGTTTCGTACCAAGAACAAGCTGAAAGCTGTGATGTAAATAGAACATCTGTTGGAGAAATGTGTTTCTTATTATATGTTTTAGAAAGCAGAATCGAGTCAGCCGTTCAAGAGGTACTTTGAACAACACAGGTAACGTCTGTTGGATGAGCATTGAATCCTTGGTTTACATTATAAAGAAAAGAAGCAGGAGTCAGCTGAGACCAAACTTCCCAAACAGGAAACTGAATTGGAGTGATTCTAAAATGGAATTTTTTTTGTCTCACTACCAGGACAATACCAGTCATGATATATTGTGTTTTCACAGGATACCAGTATGCAATAGACCACTGAATTCAAAAATAAAGGAAGACTGGTTTGGAATTCCCTTGCAGCCAGTAATGTGAAGGATAATTAGAATAGCTTAAAAAGGAAAATAAGTTCTGTGATGCGGTAACGAAGAGTGTGCATATTGGTTAGCTTATAGTCTCCCCAACAATGGAAAATTCCCTCAGAGGAATTAAGGCGTGTCTGTCAAGAAAAAGTTAAAGACTTAAAAAGACAAGTTTTAAGTATATCACAATGATAGATTTTTTTTTCCTTTTTTGTAGTTATTATTTCTGGTCTTGTCTAACTAAGTATTGCAATTGACCAGGCTATTCTCTACTTGCTCTTAGCTTGTGTATAATAATTTATTGTTATTGTTACAAAGATGGTTCAATAATAGTTGGTTGGCATGTTGTTACTGCAAGTGCAATGAATCTAGTCTGTGTAGGAGTATAGTTTTCGATATAAATCTTATAAATCAAATGCACATTTCCAATTAACCATATGTGAGATCAACCGTGTTGAATAAGGGTGGCGTTTCTCTGGTACACTTTAATTTAAAAATTAGGAAGATAAACTAACAAACATAAGGTGTTAGCATAGTGAGATAATCTTTATTTATAAGCTGCATTTAGCACCATTTCATTCATGAGATCAGTGTCTACTGACCATCTGCCACAGCTGCTGTCAGCTTCACAAGACTCCTGAACTTTGCCAGTCCTGTGTTAGACTTCAAAAGACACTGCGCCCGCCCACCGCAGTCACCCCGATCCCTGGACCATATTGCAACCACAGGAAGCAGAGAGTGCTTTTGGCAGGAAGGGAAGAGGCTACCCCTGTGTTTCACTTCTCTCGTTTCAAGGTAGCAGACATTAACTGGCCCAAAGTCACTACTGCTTGAAGAAGCAGCAGCGTGTTCAGCATCAGAGGCCTTCTTAGTGATCAGAATGTTGTTGCTCAAATCCATTTGAGTAATAGTTAGAACAAAACCCCCCATGCAGAATTGGTTCATAGTAAGATCAGATGAAATGCTTTAGATATTTCAAAATAGTTTGTGTGGCACACCAAAAGAGACTTTTAAAGGAGCTTCTAAAATCAAGATGATAGAAACCTTCATTGAAACCTGGAAAGGAAGTAGAACATGGGACACTTAGCTGTACCTATGACTTCTGTCAGTGTAGTCCAGTACAGCTGATTATAGCAACCTTTGAGGGATATTTATCAAGGAAATGCTAGGACATACTAAGTCCTTACTAAACTTCTCCCTTTATATTCTGCCCTCAGGCATTATCATTTCTAAGGCTTCGTGGATCTCGATGCACCCATTTTTCATACTAACACAGAAGTTTTTGCTGACATTGTTTTCATAGACTCCCATGCCTACCCAGCAGGTCTGGGAAGAGGTTTCTTAGCATGTGTTCCCTCTGCAGGATTCACAGTGGCTGAGTAGGAGCTATTCACACTTCTATTTAAGAGTCTGTGCATCTATTTTTGGCACATCGAAACAGTAACAGACCATTTTGCTACAGGTGCAGAATACCCTGAGTTTCAAATCCCTGTTGCAGACTGTCTCACCTTTTTAGAAATTCAGGCTCTGGTCTAAAATTTCCAAGTGTATTTCCAATTTGGCAACCAAAGAAAGTAAAAAAGCATCCCTTAAGTATGCTAAGCTATAGATAACACTTAATAGTTGCACTATTATTCAGTAAATAACATGAGTTTACAAGATTGTAATTATTTCCATATGCTAACCCTGTTGTTCTGTCATTTCATATAAAATTATAGGTTAGATCACTGCTTTCTTTAAAGTATTAGTCACCATCTGTTACTGAGCTCTGATGCATTTCTAAAGTGCAGGACTTTGGGGACGCTTTGCAAGCAACACAGCTTTATGCTACACTTTCTACCTCTCTTCAATTTTCCGTTGTTTTATTGCCATACTGAAAACAAAAGACACCTTGTCAAATAAAAAAACAAAAAGATTTGTGGGCTCCACAGAAGTCAAAATATAGGGAATGCGCACATTCCTGACGAGAGGCATGAAGCTGGCATGGAGCTGGCATGAAGTCTCTTTCTGGGCTCTCTGAGGAGAGGTGCTCCTGGGACCATTAGTTTTTCCCATTGGCAGAGCGCCCATGTGAATTCTAATAACCTGGTAGCAGTTGTTCCTCAAAGCTGGCTCCGTTCCCGGAGAGGATCAGTCGGACCAGCCTAGCTTTTATTGTCTATACCATGCCTAGGGAGTATGCCTACATAACTTCAAGCATGCCATCTCCTGCATTTCCCCACCTACACTGAATACATATGAATTACAGGTTGGTTCCTGCACTACAGGTGGACCTGTGGCAGCCCAGCAGCACCTCGTACATTGCCGAAGGAACGGTCACCGACCTGAGAGTACCACACAACACGTCCCAGCTTCTGCTGCCCTCCCTCCAGCAGACCAACATCCCCTACACGTAAGCTCATGTTGCATTTTCTGGGCATCACAGGTCTGTGTTTGCCACACTGAGTGGCAGAAAGTATGTTCCCCATAGCAATTAGAGTGTCTGAGAGCTAGACTTCCTCAAGAAAATGACCATTTTAATGGAAAAACAGAAAATCTCCCCCAGGCAGGCAGTTTTAATTAAATGTCCTCCTTTGGAATCATTTAGTGTTTTACGTGTACACAAAATCACTTCTGTTAAGAGCAGGATGGTGATTACTGTCACTGATTCTACAGTGTGCCTTGCCTCTCTCTATATTTAACAGGAAATGGATTTGTTTACAAGCAGGCTGTAAATGAGGACACAAGTGTTAGTCATGAGTTATAAAGGAAAGTGTTGGGCTTGTTTTATAACTTTCCGTTTCCAGTGGAACAACTTAACAACTCCACGTGAAGGATCACACCTTGCTTACAGCACTCTTTAAAAGCATTCAAGACAGTTGTGAAGGATATAGTTAATCCTATGCTATTTATCAGTATGCTATCTTTATAATAGACAAGAGGGGTGATCTTCTCATTAAAGGCATATCAGTGAGTTAAGTGTATGGATAAGGTATTTGTTTTCTTAAACGTTTCCTGGATAAAGCCCTATGTGAGGCTATTTATATCTCAGGAGAAAAGAACTGTATATTATATGCACCATTATAAGTATTTCATTTTTGTGCTGACAATGAACTCTTTCTAAATCTGTCTTTCTAAAAATATGATAAGAATTATAAGGAAATTAATTTTGGAGGCCACGTAGCCTTAGCCATGTGGGTTGAACACTGTTTTAGCTTTGTTTACTTTTCAAAATGAGCTGATGATTTCTGTAATTGTTTTCCTCTGCTGGTATAAAAATGTCCCCTAATTACTAGGCCCCATCAGTTTTATTCATGTGTCAGCAGCTGTTTCTGCTCATAGTAATCACCTTTAATGGCAGGACAGAAGGCCATTTTATATGTATTATAAATATGGCAGTTAAAGAACTTGGGTGCAAAGCAGTAAGAGGTGCTAAAGCAAATGTTCTCTGCAATAACCTGAAAATGTGTTATTAGATTACAGTACATGGATTTTCCACGGGCTTCTGTGTTACTTGTTGCCCAGTGTGAATAGTGTGAGTTAGGAGGAAGATGGGCAGTGTTTGTTAATTCCAAAGTGTTTCTTCTCTCTCCCTCTGCACCTCCCAGCCTGGTGGTATCTGCAGGTTGTCGATGGTCAGACCCTGGTAATCAGGTCTCCAACTGCCAGATGGATTAAAATATAGAGCTTGTCCAAAGAAATGAATGCCAGATTTCTTATATTTGTGGCACACTATTGCCAGAGAAGCTTTTTTTTTTTTAATCTGTTTTGGAACTTGAAAAACTGAGGGAAACAGTGTAAAATCTTAGCTGGACTGGGTGAAGACTGGATAAGTTACAAGAATTTTCTGAAGACAGGAAGCATTAAGTAAGCATAAAGTGAGGACCCCCTTTCAGAAGAGCAAGACAGGCTCTTCTGCCCAGCATTTAACCCTATGACAGGAAGATGGTCGTGAAAACAGGTCAGACATCAGATCAGCTTTTACTGCACCAAAGTTGTTTAGGTTGCATTCAGATCTGAGAACTTAAGAGCCTTGGGATGTTATAAGCATTTGTAGTACACAATCATTTGAAAGTAAATAAAGACTATCAAATATCATTTGAAGCACAGACGCATAAAGAGAAGTTGTGAAATTAAATTATGTGTGTAAAGTCGAACAAACAGAGCTTGATCCTGGTAGGTACTTAACATACTACTTAGAATTCAGCAAAGCAGGTGAGGACTATAAATAAATCCTTAATTTGCTTAATAAAAGTTACTGATGTTGAATAATATAATTCCTAATTATACAATTACTTCCATAATATATTTGAAGGATATGATAACCTTTACTTTGATATGTGTGTAGATAGACCTATTATCTCTTAAAATATGTGCTGAAGAAGCTATCTTTTTTTATCTAGGATTCTCATATCAGATTTACAGAAAGCAATAGAAAAGCAATCTGGACGGAGGCCACAAAGAAATCGAAGGTCTCTTCTTGAGTACAACTATGAAGTATATCACTCGCTGGACGAAGTATGTTAAAATGTTAAAATTCATATTTCACCCCTTTTCTATTACCCCACTCTCTTTACTAAGGCCCAGATTTCGTTATGTGTTCAAGTTAACGATTGCTTGTTGATCTTCGGAAGTGTTCTAAATGTTTCTTTTGTAAATGTAGGCTCCTTTAATGAAATCTGAGAAAAAAACATTATTTTAATACTTATTTCCAAGGTTTATCTTGTTCATGGAACTCCTTTTGAAAGCTTCTGCGTTTTGTTTTTAAAATAAGTCTTCTAGATTTAAATTCTGGTGGATTAAGAGATTTCAGAAGCTGAAAAGTCTCACTGAGCCATTTAAGAAAGTAAAACGAGCGAAAGTAAAAAGCATTTAGATAAAGGTCCTTTTATGAGGCATGCTATTCTCAAAGCTAGCTGAGTAAATAATTTCTGTTGATTTCAGTGTACCAGCATATCCAGATAACAGGCCTCACTGACACCTTGACTTTGTCACATTCTGTTCTCATGAAGGTGAGGCCCCAGGGATCCTAGCCAAACACCACTGGGATTTTCATCAGGAATTTTGGATTTCTGTTTTATTTTTCTCGAGCACGGCCTTTCTTTTACTAACTTTATATTTATCCCTGATGCTGTTGCCTTCCTTGATTTGAGCAAGTACCTGGTCAAGAGTTCCTTTCATAGGGCAGCAGATCAGTCCCTTTCAAAAGGACTGAACACTGCATATGAATTTTAGTGTCAGGAACTGGAGCTCTTGAAAATCCAGGTGTTTGAATTTGCTCCAAAACAAAGTCACTAGACTGAGCTTATGACATGCGGCACCTCTTCAAGATCTGTAAAATAAACAAAAAAAAAGTAGGATTGACTTCTGCAGGTGCGCCTCTCCCACTGAATCTGTTCACCGTACTGTGTTCTGGCAGGAAGGCTCAGGGTCCTGCTTTCTTTATTACAGTCTTAAGGTGTAATGAAAGTGTCTGCAGCTCTGCAGAGAAAGACCTGGGTGTCATGGTGGACGACAAGTTGACCATGAGGCAGCAGTGTGCTCTTGTGGCCAAGAAGGCCAATGGGATCCTGGGCTGCAGAACATCTGCCCTATGAGGAGAGGCTGAGGGAGCTGGGCCTGTTCAGCCTGGAGAAGAGAAGGCTGAGAGGGGATCTAATCAGTGTCTATAGGTACCTCAAGGGAAGCAGTGAGGAGGATGGTGCTGGCCTCTTTCAGTGGTGGCCACTGACAGAACTAGAGGTAATGGCCACAAACCGAAGCATCAAAAGTTCCACATGAACTTAAGGAGTGACAGTGAGGGTGACAGAGCACTGGAACAGGCTGCCCAGAGAGGTTGTGGAGTCTCCTTCTCTGGAGATCTTCAAAACCCGCTTGGACGCAGTCCTGTGCCACGTGCTCTAGATGACCCTGCGTGTGCAGGGGGGTTGGACTAGATGACCTCTAGAGGTCCCTTCCAACCTTAAGCATTCTGTGATTCTGTGGTTAGCCCCATTTCCAAGTTTTCAGTGAACAGCAAATGCATTCCAGTGCTATCCATAATAAAATGGAAAGAAAGAAACATGCAACTGAAGGCTGCATCCAGCTTCTGGCAACAGAACCATGAGAACTCATTGATAGTTAAGTTTGTAAAGGAAAACAATCAAATAAGACAAATATTAAATCTATAGAAAAAATGAAAAAATAACACCAAGTAAGAACTAAGCTTAATAATAAAAGTATTACAGCCATTTCCCAAGAAATGCAAAAATTGAAGCAGCAAATTTGTTTCTGTTTTTTTGCAGATCCAGAATTGGATGTATCATCTGAATGAAACTTATTCAGATCTTATTCATATGTTCTCAGTTGGAAAATCCTATGAAGGCAGACCGCTGTTTGTACTCAAGGTAAAGATTAGTCATTAATCAGACCAAAGTCTGGGATCAATGGCAGATGCTTAGCTGTGTGTGTTATAGGATGAACACTGCAAATGCAGGTGATGAAACTTTCTGAAGGAGAAGTTGTGGAGAAGTTGATCTAAGCATCTCTGCATGTGGTCTCCAAAGAACAAACAAATAAGGGTTCGGAAAACAAAGAGCCAAATCCTGGTCATTTGGATTGGATATATGTGGCAATTATAGAACAAATAAAATTAGCAGTGTCTGGATTTAAGGGAATTGGAAATATTTGTGTTTATAGTCAACTTGTAAAACAATTATCTTAGAGGGGGACTCCAGAAGACTCTGGATCCCTTCTCAGCATGTCCTACGTATGTTTCCCATTTAGCTGTTGACAAAATCCCTGGGCAGAGCACTCTCAACTCACGTTTTTAGGATGACAAATTAAAGGGCAACATAAAAGAGAAAAAAAAAGCTTACACTCAAGGTACTTTCTCTTCACCCACTGCTGCAGAACTCTTAAATTGTATTCTGCATTGTGCTATCCCTGTAGCGTTGGTTTTACTCACCCTGCTTCATGTGATAGCTAAGAACTACATTTTGTATAGGAAAAAGAGGAATTGACAGATCTGATTTTTCCTGCCATTTTCTTTTCCCATAGATCTACTTCATTAGCTTGGCTATACCTGCCTGTCATTTCTCTTTGAAAAGAAAAAAAAAAAGTTGCATTCTTTCCTACAAGGAAATTCAAAATGTTCTAGTACTTCTTATATTCTCTCTTTTTTTTTCCAATTTTTGGTTCTCACTATTGTCAAGATATCTATTGATATTTTTATGAATCTTTACACTTTAAGTTAGGTAAAAGATCACAGCCTTACAAGAAAGCTGTCTGGATAGACTGTGGGATTCATGCAAGAGAGTGGATTGGACCTGCCTTTTGCCAGTGGTTCGTGAAAGAAGTAAGTATTTAATGATTTACAGTCAGACAGCTCCTTCGGTTCAAAAAAACATTGCATACTTATTATAACCAATATAATTGTTATTGGTAAGTACAATAACTAGTTGTTATGTATTTTTTATTATTATTTGTAGAACACTAAGTGCTTGATAAGTGAAGCTGATAGTGACAGGCAGACACAGTTAAACACAGGACAAAAATATGCCAGACACATGCTGGCAGAAACCTGAAGCAGGAATTTATTCCAAGACATAGAACTGTGGAAATTGTAATTCTGCTAACAGTCCAGGTAGATCCATGCCAGTGTGTGCTGTTTTAGATCAGTTTGGTAAGATCTTTATCTTAAGGACTTAGATCAAAAAAGACATTTCTCTTTTGTGTAATTCCATAGGAACAGAAAGCTGAAATCATAGGCAAATTTGAACCAAAAGATCAATTTTGTATTCTCTGAATATCAAGTAGTTCCCTAATATTTATTCGATCCTATCTTATTGAATTTATTCTTCTTTAATGCGTGATATCTGGGGTCTAATCCATGATATCTGGGGAGCTGCAGAGTGGAGCCCATTTTGCAATGCAATTGACAGAAGTCAAGGAAGGCTTCAAAACACCGACAGATGTGCTTTGAGTGCTTTTGCATTTTTTTTTTCACAAAATAAAAGATGCAAAATCTTTATGTGCAAGGTTCTTCCTATTAACAGCTTTCTCTCTTCTTTTTGCCAAGTCACTGTGTGATTCCACAATATATTAATAACTCCTCCAGTTTAGGATATCTCCTTTAGATTTTCTAGGAACCCATAAGCCACTTCATATGGGTAAACATCTGCATTGTGCAACACCCCGATGATATTAGAGTATGTCTATCCTATTGTTAGCTGAGATTATCATGTAGCTAACTGTGAAGGTAAAAGGTAAAAGTCACAAGGTTTCTCTGCAGAACTTAGGGCAGGCTACAGGCTGCATGTGTATATAAAAACCTTCTGATTGTTATCTGAGATCCTCTGAGAGTAACTTGCTCATAGGATTGTTCGGCTAAATGTGTAAAAGCATTTTCCTAACTTAAAGAAAGTCTCTGCAGCTCAGAGTTCATTGAGACAAAAATAAAGCACTCCTTGGTCTGTCTGTCTCAGCCGTGCATTGCATTAGCCCAGAGATGGTGTTTTCTCATCTTTCTTTAGCAATATTTCAATCCAGCTTCTAAGCAAAATGCAACAGGATCCGAATACATTATGCTCACAATCTCCATCGTTATATTAAAAAATGGTTGAGAAGGGAGCAGAGACATGATGATTAGATTACATTGGGATATTACTTTTTCTCGTTATATGAAATAGACATTTCATATACTCTGTGGAACTCTGTGGAAATTATAAGTCTGTGTGTGCTTCTAACTCTGCAGTTCTCTTTTGCTGGCAAATTCCTTCCCTAAGCACCTCTGCAGCCCAGCAGCATGCTTTCCAGCCTCTTGGATGCTCATGGAGAATTTTGAGAAAGGGCAGTCCAATTGGAAATAGATTTTTCCAGGCACACTTGTGGACTCTAAGGTATAGCACCACAAGCCCCGCAAGACACAAAAAGACACGCAAAAGGAGAAGAGGGATTTAGGGATTTTAGGGAGAGGGATGTTAGCTTTTCTAGCAGCAACCATGTCTGCATGTGTCTTTAGAGTGGAGTGAGTCAAAAATATTTTATGCAACTCTCACTTCAGACCTTAGGTCTGGGGTGAGAGTGTGGAGGCCATAGCTGGACAGGGCTGTGGCAGGACCGGAGCTGGCAGCGTCATGGGGCTGAGATGGGGCCAAGGTTGGGCAGTGGGCAGGGAGAGACATGTCTGGGAGTGCCCCCAGGCCCCTGATACTTGTATTCAAAATAAACTGTGTTTTGCTTATATCCAAACATCGGAGATGATTGAATTCCAGAGCCATTCAGTGTATAGGAAAACTGTTGACCTGTATGCGCAATGAGATGTAAGTAGATGTTCCCCGGCAGTTTGGGAGCTCTTGATATCTTCCTTTCATCTCCAGAAGTGGCAGCCTCCAGATGCTGGTGCTTCTGGCAGCATGAGGGACGTTGGCACCAGCCGGTGCTCCTGCCTGGTCTGGGTGACCGCTGCGGCTTGCACTAGTGCGGGCAGCAGCAACCCTGCTTGACAGAAACTAGACCTGCTGAGCTGAGCAGGACCCAGCTCCCATCTATTTTAAAATGCAAAGCAGACAAAGGCAGAACAGCCTAGGGAGTTGAGGATGTGAGGCTAAAATGTGCAAAGGCAAGAGGTTGCCTTGCTGCACCAGCCTGCTCTGTATTCAGGCAAATACAATAGACAAAAGACAAGATGAACTGAGGAGTAGGGAAGAAAGCTATAGAAATAGAGTTGTAAAATCAAAGAGAGACAGAAAATGGCAGGAAAGCATTTTTGTTATTTGTTAATAACATTGCAAAGTACAAATCTGAACTCCCTGAGTTCTGAAACAAATTAAAGCAAGGAGCATTCATTGGGGTTTGGATTTTTTTTTAATTATAATCTACTCCAGAGAGAGCTGTAGCCTTGGCTCTGTGTGCTGTAGGTCCAGCGTTAATAAGAGCTTCACGCTCTGTTTCAGTAGAAGGCAGCCCTGAAAACCTTGAGGCTCTTAGCTGAAGGTAATCAGACTGACTGCAGAGATGGACAACACCAGTGACCTCTGGCAAACCCTGCCACATTGTCACTAAATTTCAAGGCTAAAAGCTTGTAGGATCAGAGCTCAAGCTCCCAAATAATGAGTCACGGAGAAATATCTGGTGTGCACTATGACAGGAAAGTCAGATATTTGCCATGGATGGCAGGTTCCAGTGAAGTCCCACTAACTTCAAGCCATACTCAGCTGAAAAGGGCCAGAAAAAAAATAGCAAAAACGACCAAAAAAATGGCCATGGAAATATTACAGAAATGTGGAGGAGTAGGGAAGGAACTGGAGCTGTGAAAATAGAGGGAGCTGATTAGGGGGAACTACTTTGAATGCAGCCTGTAAAGGTGAGTGAATCTAATGCAACCCAGAATTTGTGTCTGCAACAAAAGCTTAAACAAAAGAATATGTTAGCCTAGATTTTAAAAAGACTACATATGATGTAATTATAAATTAAAATGTGTCACTAAATTAAAAACTGGAAAGAAGGGGTTATGTGTAGTTGCTTTGTAGAAAGCAGTATATTTTAGCCAGATATGCTGCAATTAATCCAATCTAAGATGGGAGCTTCATATCAAGGTGCAAACAAGTCATGCCTTTGAAAGTACAGTAACCCCACCACCATATTCATCCTTGCATCCTCAAAAGCCTAGTGGCACTTCTTAGCAAAAAAAAAAAAAAAGAAAAAAGAAAGATGGCATTTGTTGACCTGATTCAGCAAACTTCCATCTCAAATGTGAAATATGGTGTTCTCTTCAGACTCTGAAGGCCATTATATTTTAGAAACATTTAAATTTCCATAGTTTCTTCAAAGTAGTTCTGTTCTACTTTGAACATGGGCCAGCTTACATTGCATTCCACATAATCACATTACTTTAATGTGAGATTGTTGTGGGATTTTCTCCTGTACTAGCAATGCTACTACCATACTGTCTGCCTCCTCTGAGATAGCCTATCCAGGATCTAGGGTCTTTGCTGGAAAAGTGTTCAGAACTATTTCTGAGCTTTCTGGGCTTGATCAAGGTGACTCGATAAGTTTGGTCCAAGCATTGGCTTGATTAGACCACCCAATACACTTCCCAATCACCCCTAAGCACATGCCCACTGGAAAGCAAATGTATAGCAGAGAAATCTGAAACTGCAACTCTAAAGCTCTGCTTATCCCGCACGCTCCAGTGTCCCTTAAAGATGGGCTGTAATGGATGTCTCGTCTCAGGAGAATCCCAAATCTGTATAGGATTCTCAGTACACTCCTCATACTTGAAATCTGTGAGAAGCACGTCTGAAAGACCAAATTCTGAAATGTATGTCCTGTGATCCCAATTATGTGAGTTCCCAAATTACCCTAGGGTATGTGTTTACACTTCATCTTGCCCCCACAGAGCAGACAGACAACCCCAGACAGAGAGGCTAAGGGGCTGAGGGCGGATTTGTTTTTTAAAGCTGTCATTAATATTGATTGCTGCCAAAACCAGGACTGAATCCTGTCTTTTCACTCCATAATAACGAGCTAAGAGAGACTGTCCCAGGAGCAAAATGGCAACACTTGCCTCCGCCATTCTGCACTTGAGACTGATTTATGAATCACCTTGTGGGATGCATACTGCCAATTAGCTAGCCATCAGACTTGCAAACATGCCCCAGAGACCAATTTTTTACCAGGAATTTTGCAGAGTTCGAGACCTCACATTCTTCTTCAGGAATGTTTATGAAGTGTTTGACTGTAAAGACAGGATACCTAAAATAACAGAGCAGACACATATACAGAAGTGTATAAGGATGATTGTGTGATCAGAGCCAAGGGCCAAGCAGGAGACCAAGGCAGTGTGAATGTCAAAAGGGTTGGCTCTGGTCCTCTGCTGTGCAGGCTACATGCCTACAAGGCCATAAAGCTATAAGCATCCTGAATTTAAGAACTGTTGAAAGCCAGTGTAGCATTTCTACTCATTCTGCAAAATTCCACAGTGTGTGTCCTGATGGACAAAACATCTGTGATATGCTGCCTCATCGATCAGAGAATCGTTCACTCAGTCATTCCTTCCAATGCTGAAGTCCACACTTTAGGAAAAAAAAAAAAACTTCAAGGTCTGGGTGACTTCAGAGCATTGCTGAATCATCTCAAAACTGTTAAGTTTTCAGCGTTCAGAAAAAAATATTTCCCTTTTCTGTCTATAGTGACTGAACCTCAAAAATCTGGCTGCTCTCCCCTTTTGATTGCAGGATTTAGACATCAGTTTTTGATCCACTTCATAAATACTGTAATATCAGGATTTTGTAAGATAGTTATGTGGAGTAACACACTAGCATTTGTTAAATGTTGTATGTTAGACCTGTCACT